GCTTTTTCTGAACACCCTGGCTTTCAGCCATAGCGTCTTTGACGCAAAGTAATACGTCAAAAAGCGTTGACAGAAACCCTTCCACCTTCTTGCGCATCGCAACAGGGCTGATATCAGCCAAGCCTTCGGCTATCTCTCCCCAACTAAGCCCTGATGTGGCAGGGGGTAGCGTTAAAGGAACGCGAGGGTTGATCAAACCATTCACATAGAATGGGGTGAAGCCTGTCGAGGCATGCACCGCGTTATTCAACGCAAACTCTACCAGAGGGAGCATCGTGCTCCATTGCTTGGGTGTTTCAGCACAAACACCTCAAATCATATCACCAATAACGCGATCCACGCGTTCTGTCTGACCATCGGTCTGTGGATGATCCGCCGTGGACATGTCGAGTCGAGTGCCAAGCACTTTAAAGACGGACGACCAAAAATTACCCGTAAACCGGGAGTCTCTATCAAAGACGATGCCACTGGCAATCCGTGTTGTCAATACACACGATCCATGAACAGCTTTGCTGTTCCTTCTCCATCAATGGAGTCCGACACTGCTGCTAATTGAGCCATCTTGCTCAGACGGTCAACAAAGACCACAATCCCAGTGTTGCCTGCCGCATCGCGCGGTAGGCCAAACACAAAGTCCATACTAATGGATTGCCACAACTCTCTTTTTTTTTTTTGAGGGTACAAGCAAACTCGACAAAGGCGCAGCCATACTGGGCGAGGACTTCACCCTTTGACACGTTATACACGTGCGTACATATGTGCCAACCCATTTATTCAGCTTGGGCCACCAGTAATGGAAGGTCACCAAGCTGTAAATCGTCTCACGACCTCAATGGCCACCGAGTGGTGTATTATGAGCCTCATAAAGTATCTGATACTTGAGGTTCTCATCATGAGGCACCACAACACAAGGCTGGTCATCCGACCTTGTACTATAGTACAACAGACCATCGGTCAGTGCATAACGATGTAATCTCGCACGATTACGTGGTGACAGCTTCACTTTAGTGTTCAAACTCTGCGCTACCCAGCGCCTGCAAGTGGCAACACATGCCTCATCGCGTTTTACCTACGCCACACGGATATGATCCGTTACTGACGAGCTCACAACAGTGAGATGAGCAAGCTCATAGTCAGGTCTACGCGATAACGCTTCAGCCAAAACATTCTATTTTCCCGGCTTATACTTCACCTCGAAGTTATGCTCCGCGAAAAAGGAGAGCCAACGAGCCATTCTCTGCGAAAGATGAGGCGACTGTGTCGCTGTGCGTAGTGACGCATGATCGGTATAGATCACAAACGGCTTTGAGCCCAACAGGTGTACCCTGAACTTAACAAGGGCATACTTCATCGCAAGTAGCTCCTTGTCATGAACTGGTTAGTTCTTCTCTGCAGCTTTTCAGCTGGAAATACTCAAACGCGATGACGTGTTCTCTACCCTCAGAGTCGACTTGCAAAAGTGCACTGCCAATGGCAAAGTCCGAAGCGTCACATACGGCGCTAAAATAACTAAATTTGTTTAAATATTGGTTTTAATATTAAAGGGCGATCAGGATCAGGTAGAGCCAGAATTGTTGCCTGGGACTCTCCTTAATGGCTTCAAAAGCCTCGTGGTGTTCGGTGTTCCAACACCATTCCACATCCTTTTGAAGGAGATTTGATAATGGCCTAGCCACTTCCGCATAGTTGTGGCTATACTTATGCAAGCAATTTGCCAAACACAACCACTTGCTTAGGTCTTTTGGTTCCTCGGAACCGGTCGATCCACTATGGCTTTGACCTTAATAGGGGTCTGCCCGCTGATTCCTCGCTTTCCAATGAAGCATCCCAAAAAAGAGAATCTCTTCCGCACCGAAGATGCATTTGTCAATACTGTCATATAACTTATGCATCCTCATGCAACTGAGCACAGCTCGCAGGTGCTCGATGTGATTCTTCACATCAGTCTTGCCATTTTCGGCTCGACTATGAACGAATATATCGTCAAATTATGTCTGTGCATACGCCCTATGGGGCCGAACAACTGCGTCACTAGACGATTGAACGTTGCAGGTGCGTTAGACAGCCCTTGGGGCATCACTAACCACTCTCAGAGCATACCGCTCAGAATACTAACCGCTGTGAGCAGGATATCACAAGCTCGCATGAGCAGTTGGTAATATTCATCGACTAAGCCGAGGGCAATGTACATCGTACATCCCACCATATTGTTTTGAAGAACATCCTTGCGAGGAATTGGTGTTTGAGGCGGGATAGTGGCTGCATTCAGCTTACTGTAAGCATGCACTATTCGCCACTTCCCATAAGGCTTTTTCACACAAAACGTGGGCGTAGAAGGAGAAAACTTACTCTCATGCACTATGCCAGCCGCTTGCTTTGCACGAAAGAGCTTGTCAATGACGTCACATTGTTCTCGTGGCAGCGGTCACTGTCGCGTCACACAGTATTTGGTTCCTGGAACCAAGTCAATCTCATGACGTGCACCTCTTTCCGGAGGTAACCTCGTCGGAGGTTCTCTGGAGACAACATCTCCATATTCCTTCAACAAAGAAAAATAAGGATCCGAAGGTCCTCCAGGATCTGCGATCCACTGCGCAAGCTCAGCGTCTTCTTGGTATCTTCAAGAACTGCTTCATCCAAAAGCGATGAGGAGTTTAACTCCTCCTCAGGTCGTAGACCGACCACTTCGGCGATGTATCCTGCCTATAAGGCAATGCCAAACTCGGCAAAGGACAACTCGTCCAGCTCTAACAGAGCACTTGCTGCGAGTATAGCTGAAAGAACCACCGGCTCTTCAACATCCTCAGTCAAACCATTGACGAGTTTATGTCGCTGTTTGCTATCACCGTCACTCACGATATCTCACGCTACTCATGATGCTCTCAGCATCCGACGCATCAGCGTCCACCGGTGTACACACCTCAAGGTTAAAGACCACTTCGTTTACTGACTGCACCCCACCCTCTTGGATCAATTCCTCGTCATGAGGTGTTTGCATTTCGTTGTCCTCAAAGACAACCGTCATTTTGACTTCACCCAACCCTCTTGGGCCAGTACCTCGTCGCTAGGTGAATGCACCTCGTTATCCTCGAAGACAACATCCATTGATGACTTCACTCGACCCTCCAGGGTCAGTACCTCGTCGTTAAATACATGCACACCGTTGTACTCAAAGATAACATCCATTTGTGACTTCACCCGGCCTTCCAGGGTCAACTCCTCGTCACTCATGTCACTTGGACTCATGTGCTGACATCTTGGCTTGCAGCCACCAACACCACTCACGGTGTTTAATGATGTAACATCATTCTCATGACACATGTCATATGTGCCATCTAGTGGGTTCTCAACCACATTATCAACAGTCCTTGGGCCACGCCCAGGACTAATGTCCTCGACACTTACAGTATCTATAAAGTCAGATAGCTCGACATCAACGTATCGACCGACTCGTTCCAATATTCGCGCCAAAGACGCTTTTACTTCCTCGCAGAGGTGGGTTCATGACTCTCCAGAGACCCACTAGGAGCATTGAGCGTTGCGCCTAAGGTCTTTGACCTCCAATCAATCCATGGCTCATGACGTTCTAGCCATGCTATGCCTAGGATGAGGTCATACCTCGCATCCAGGTTTAAGACCAAATAGCGTTACATGCTGTTAAAGTCCAAGAACTTTACATGTAAGTCCATCGGGACTTTGGGTACCGCAACACGCGTACCAGTCGCTAAGCGAAGTGTGACTGTGTCACTTTCACAAGCTACAAGCGCTTCAGCATACTGCTGACTACTTTCCACGGTGGCGCGGCGCAAATAGTTGCCCGATGCCCCCGAATCGATCAAAATTATCCATGACTTATCATAGCCATTAACCGTCCATTTGACGACTGGCAAGCCTGTCTTGCATTCTCGTTCCGTTTTTGAGAGTTCGGATCTCTTTGGGGCTGGGACCTGTTTACTTCTACCTCCTAGAGGCTCAACAGAACTAGGTTCTTCCCCAGTAGGGCACCCGCGCCTACTGGGCTCCGCCTTTTCCCCGCGGCAAACCTAGGGTTATTCATGGGGCGTCGGCCCTTCGAGGCCAAATATGCCTTTATTGCAGGGCATTTTGCCATCAAACGGCCTGTGCTCTTGCAGATATAACATCTGCTCCCAATTTCCTGTCCTCAGCTTGAAGCTCAGCTTCTTCATTCTCAACTTGACTACAGTCCATAGGTCCAGACCCCCAGACACATGTGAATACCCGTTGCTTGGTTGAATCTCCCAGTTTACCGTGATAAAGCCAACACGGTACGGTTCATAAGAGATGTCAGCTATAAACATAGCCGACTCAACCTGTTGGAACTAAAGCATAAGGTTATCACCTTCTTTGCCGTCGTCGACTTTGATATGTATGGATTTTGGTCTGTGGACCACTTCTTGCGTCATAGTCGCCATTGGCGAAGACGTAGAAGAAGGCATCGGTGCCTTGACCCTCTTCAAGCTATCTCGCAAGTTTGTGCCTTTTAGCAGTGAACAACTGTGTCTCCAAGGGACTTGTATCATAGATATATTTTCTTGGAAAGGAATAGAATGCTTTAGCAACTAGTTTCTATACAAGGCAGTTTTGAAACTGATTTATATTTATGTTTTCCTTCAACACTAAATATAGAAGCACCTACTATATCCTTAGTGCAAGTCACTATTTACTGGCTCTATAGCCTGTTGTTATTATGCAAACATGCATAGTCACTATACTTTAAGTAAGTATAGTGACCACGTGGCTCTCTGCTACGATGAGACCCTACGTATTCCAGGTAAGATCACATCAAACCTACTAATGTACCTAAGCTACAGCCACACCATAATATGGTGTGGCAGGTGTACATGCCTTTATGCAACCCCGTTACAGGCATGGCAATAACTTGACATCGGTAGTGCACCATCCAAGAATACCACTGATCATCTCGGCCTGCGTAGATGATGCCGTAAAGATGTGGCACTCGACTACATACCGTATCATAGATGAAGCTTAACTACGGTGTGGAACGTAGCTGGTTGCTTGCGACGCTACCTTCAGCCAACACGCTAGCGATCGGCTACGATAAGGGCACTATTGTGTTGAAGCTAGGGCACGATACCCCTGTCGTGAGTATGGACGCTGGTGGCAGCGGAAAGTTCATCTGGATGACTAATAATGACGTTTACACCGCCAGTGTTAAGAGGGTGGTGACGTAGATGGGTTTTCAGGACGGAAAAAAGCTGCCGCTTGTTTCAAGAGATCTAGGAAGCTGCGAAGCGTACCCTCAAAAGGGACGGCACAACAGCAACGTCCGCTACGTATTGTTTTGCGGTGACGGCGAGTACATCATCTATACGGCACAGCAGTTTCGTAACAAGGCCTTTGGTACTGCGCTAGATTTCAGCTGGTCACCAACAGGCACCGGTGATTACGTTATACGTGAGAGCATTTCAAAGCTCATACTGTTTCGTAACTTTAAGGAAGTTAAGAGCGAGAAGCCTTGCGTGCTGTGTGCCGAAGGTCTGTTCGGAGGCCCTGGCGCCATCGGCGTCAAGGGTAATGACGCGATTGCCATGTTTGAATAGGAGAAGCTTCGGCTGATTCGTAAGATCGACTTAGTGGTCAAAAATGTGTCTTGGTCTGAAAATGGCAGTCTCGTCGTGCTTGCTTGCGAGTCAAGTTTTTCGTGCTGCGGATCAACAAGGAGGTTGCGGCACAGTCTTTTGCTGCTGGCACAAACTCACCTGATGAAGGTGTTGTTGGCGCCTTTGATCTGCTTCACGTAATTTCTGAGAAGGTTGGTACGGGCACTTGGGTTGGAGATTACTTTTTGTACACTAACGCTGTCGGCAGACTCAACTACTACGTGGGCGGTGAGGTAATGACGTTCGACCACATAGAGCAGAAGATGTATCTGCTCGAGAACTTACCTTGTGAAAAACTGCTATTTTTGCTGGAAAAAATGAAGAATGTGGTGAGTTACACGGTTTCGCTAGTAATTAATGCTAGACTACCAAACTGCTGTGGTGCGTCGTGACTTTGAGAGTGCAAACGACATCTTGCCCAAGATTCCGGCAGACCAAATGGACTACGTGGCCCGTTTTCTGAAGTCACAGGGTTCAGAGAAGAGGCTTTGGCTTTAAGCACTGACCCAGACCAAAAAATTGATCTTGCTGCGCAGCTTGCAAGCTGGACGTGACGCGTGATGTTCTGTTGCTGGAAATTGACAATGGCGACAAAAGCAGTTCTATGTTATCTCCTACCTTGCAATAATTGAATCATTGCCTGCTTGGTGGACGCACTGGTCAGATTACGATCAAATAAAGTAACAGATAAGTGCTTCTCTTGTCCATCATTAGTTATTCAGTAACAGTCTTTCAAGTTGAACTTTCTCTGCAGCAACATCAAACTAGTGTGTGGCATTTATTGCAGTCTCTCAGTAGTCAATCAAAACCAAGTCTATATGTTTCCATCACATTTTGACCATGGGTTCATTTCCACGTAGACATAATAGAAAATTCTCTCCGTTTCTCTCTTTAACATTTGCCGAATTGAAAAAACGGTAATGCTTCTTTGTGCAATTGTTGGTATGGCGGGGAGCGTGTTCCCTGTGGATATCGACAAAGATAAGATAGCGGGAAAATAAAGGACGCGATTAAAGCGGAGCAGATATACCAGTTTTCTGTGAGCGAGCTGCAGCTGTTTCTCGCAAAGAAAGACGCGGGCGCGTGGCTGTCATCTCGGTCGGAAGACGCAACAAAGTTGAAGGAGGGTGAGAAAACCGCTTTTATTGAAGCGCTGACAAAAAAGAGCGAAGAACTGTTCAAGCTGTGCATGACACCGGTAATAGCTACAGGGTGAGGACCCATTAAAGAACGTGCTGGACGGGATGGATCCTCCATTATCTCGCCAGATCCACGTGTTGGTGAAGCTACCGGGACAAATTGCAGGTGCTGGCTTGATTCAACCAACAGTGCGAATTTCCAAAGATGACTGAACTGGTCGCGCCAGAGGAATACGCGGACGAATGCCGATTACTGGATGAATGGGATATCAATGCTGTGTACAAGATTCATCCCATCTGCGAATTTATGAGGAATTTGGGTGGATGCACTAATCATGGACAAATTTATTGGAGAATGGAAGATAATTAAGTAGTGTCGCTGCTGCTAGAAGGATGGTTTCTAAAGTCTGCTCATAAAAGCAGCTATTTTTGGAAATGACATTTTTGGAAATGATGCAGGGTATCGTGGTGGGCTCGCCGGGCGTTGGCAAGTCGACGGTGTTATGCATGATGGCGTTTTATCTCGTTTTCAGCCAAAATAAAAATTTGTTGGTGTACCGGCGAATGGCCCAATTACGAGAGTAGTACTATCTTATTTATCAAAGTCACGAGAATAATAAGGTCGCGCAGTTTACAGTGTCGGAATGTGACAAAAAGTATGCGACTTCCATATATCATATGCTTGATGAGTATATAAAAGCTATAGGCGAGCATGTAAAGGCACAGATGCCTTCGTCTGCGCCTTCGTCCATGGCGACTATGGCGCAAAAAGTGGTCCGCAGACCAAACTCCATACAAATGGAAGTCGATAAGCTCGACGGCAAAGAAGGTTACAACCTTATGCTTTGGTTCAGACAGGTTGAGTCGGCAATGTTTATAGCCGACGTCACCTATGAACCGTACCGTGTGGGTTTTGCCACGGGCAAGTTAGGTGGCTTATCCAAACAGTGGGCATTTTTACATGTGGTGCATCACTGCAAGATTCTTTTCCCACATAGGCCGATCTGAAAATTCAGATGACCCGGCAGTATGCACCGCCAAACCAAGCACACCGTAATTGGTCGCGGTTTTTGGCGTGTCGCCAAGGCAAGCGTGAGATTGCGGCATATGTACAAGAGTTGAGAACTCTCATTGCTGCCATGGTCATAGACCCTATGCCTGAGGCAGTGACCGTCACGGTATTTATCGAGAACCTCCGAGTTGGCGTTTCCAGAACGAAAGTCTTCCTGGTAAAACCGTTCTCATTTGATGAAGCTGTTGGAGTGGCATGGAATGCCGAGATTAACTTCAAAAAAGACCGATAGGACCGCCACTTATAACTACCCGTCTGATGGGTCTGTTCTCATGGACTGTAGTCAAGTTGAGAATGAAGAAGCTGAGCTTCAAGCTGAGGACAGGAAATTGGGAGCAGATGTTATATCTGCAAGAGCACAGGCCGTTTGATGGCAAAATGCCCTGCAATAAAGGCATATTTGGCCTCGAAGGGCCGACGCCCCATGAATAACCCTAGGTTTGCCGCGGGGAAAAGGCGGAGCCCAGTAGGCGCGGGTGCCCTACTGGGGAAGAACCTGAGTTCTGTTGAGCCTCTAGGAGGTAGAAGTAAACAGGTCCCAGCCCCAAAGAGATCCGAACTCTCAAAAACGGAACGAGAATGCAAGACAGGCTTGCCAGTCGTCAAAGGGACGGTTAATGGCTATGATAAGTCATGGATAATTTTGATCGATTCGGGGGCATCGGGCAACTATTTGCGCCGTGCCACCGTGGAAAGTAGTCAGCAGTATGCTGAAGCGCTTGTAGCTTGTGAAAGTGACACAGTCACACTTCGCTTAGCGACTGGTACGCGTGTTGCGGTACCCAAAGTCCCGATGGACTTACATGTAAAGTTCTTGGACTTTAACAGCATGTAACGCTGTTTGGTCTTAAACCTGGATGCGAGGTATGACCTCATCCTAGGCATAGCATGGCTAGAACGTCATGAGCCATGGATTGATTGGAGGTCAAAGACCTTAGGCGCAACGCTCAATGCTCCTAGTGGGTCTCTGGAGAGTCATGAACCCACCTCTGCGAGGAAGTAAAAGCGTCTTTGGCGCGAATATTGGAACGAGTCGGTCGATACGTTGATGTCGAGCTATCTGACTTTGTAGATACTGTAAATGTCGAGGACATTAGTCCTGGGCGTGGCCCAAGGACTGTTGATAATGTGGTTGAGAACCCACTAGATGGCACATATGACATGTGTCATGAGAATGATGTTACATCATTAAACACCGTGAGTGGTGTTGGTGGCTGCAAGCCAAGATGTCAGCACATGAGTCCAAGTGACATGAGTGACGAGGAGTTGACCCTGGAAGGCCGGGTGAAGTCACAAATGGATGTTATCTTTGAGGGGGGGGGGGGGGGGGGGGGGGGGGGGGGGGGGGGGCCCGGGGGGGGGGGGGGGGGGTGGGATAACGAGGTGCATGCACCTAGCGACGAGGTACTGACCCAAGAGGGTTGGGTGAAGTCAAAATGACGGTTGTCTTTGAGGACAACGAGATGCAAACACCTCATGACGAGGAATTGATCCAAGAGGGTGGGGTGCAGTCAGTAAACGAAGTGGTCTTTGACCTTGAGGTGTGTACACCGGTGGACGCTGATGCGTCGGATGCTGAGAGCATCATGAGTAGCGTGAGATATCGTGAGTGACGGTGATAGCGAACAGCGACATAAACTCGTCAATGGTTTGACTGAGGATGTTGAAGAGCCGGTGGTTCTTTCAGCTATACTCGCAGCAAGTGCTCTGTTAGAGCTGGACGAGTTGTCCTTTGCCGAGTTTGGCATTGCCTTATAGGCAGGATACATCGCCGAAGTGGTCGGTCTACGACCTGAGGAGGAGTTAAACTCCTCATCGCTTTTGGATGAAGCAGTTCTTGAAGATACCAAGAAGACGCTGAGCTTGCGCAGTGGATCGCAGATCCTGGAGGACCTTCGGATCCTTATTTTTCTTTGTTGAAGGAATATGGAGATGTTGTCTCCAGAGAACCTCCGACGAGGTTACCTCCGGAAAGAGGTGCACGTCATGAGATTGACTTGGTTCCAGGAACCAAATACTGTGTGACGCGACAGTGACCGCTGCCACGAGAACAATGTGACGTCATTGACAAGCTCTTTCGTGCAAAGCAAGCGGCTGGCATAGTGCATGAGAGTAAGTTTTCTCCTTCTACGCCCACGTTTTGTGTGAAAAAGCCTTATGGGAAGTGGCGAATAGTGCATGCTTACAGTAAGCTGAATGCAGCCACTATCCCGCCTCAAACACCAATTCCTCGCAAGGATGTTCTTCAAAACAATATGGTGGGATGTACGATGTACATTGCCCTCGGCTTAGTTAATGGATATTACCAACTGCTCATGCGAGCTTGTGATATCCTGCTCACAGCGGTTAGTATTCTGAGCGGTATGCTCTGAGAGTGGTTAGTGATGCCCCAAGGGCTATATAAAGCACCTGCAACGTTCAATCGTCTAGTGACGCAGTTGTTTCGGCCCCATAGGGCGTATGCACAGACATACTTTGACGATATATTCGTTCATAGTCGAGCCGAAAATGGCAAGACTGATGTGAAGAATCACATCGAGCACCTGCGAGCTGTGCTCAGTTGCATGAGGATGCATAAGTTATATGACAGTATTGACAAATGCATCTTCGGTGCGGAAGAGATTCTCTTTTTGGGATGCTTCATTGGAAAGCGAGGAATCCGGGCAGAACCTATTAAGGTCAAAGCCATAGTGGATCGACCGGTTCCGAGGAACCAAAAGACCTAAGCAAGTGGTTGTGTTGGCAAATTGCTTGCATAAGTATAGCCACAACTATGCGGAAGTGGCTAGGCCATTATCAAATCTCCTTCAAAAGGATGTGGAATGGTGTTGGAACACCGAACACCACGAGGCTTTTGAAGCCATTAAGGAGAGTCAGGGAACAATTCTGGCTCTACCTGATCCTGATCGCCCTTTAATATTAAAACCAATATTTAAACAAATTTTAGCTATTTTAGCGCCGTATGTGACGCTTCGGACTTTGCCATTGGCAGTGCACTTTTGCAAGTCGACTCTGAGGGTAGATAACGCGTCATCGCGTTTAAGTATTTCCAGCTGAAAAGCTGCAGAGAAGAACTATCCAGTTCATGACAAGGAGCTACTTGCGATGAAGTATGCCCTTGTTAAGTTCAGGGTACACCTGTTGGGCTCAAAGCCGTTTGTGATCTATACCGATCATGCGTCACTACGCACAGCGACACAGTCGCCTCATCTTTCGCAGAGAATGGCTCGTTGGCTCTCCTTTTTCGCGGAGCATAACTTCGAGGTGAAGTATAAGCCGGGAAAATA